TCCGCCCCAAAAGGCCGCCGCTCTAACACCTGACGGAGCCGTGCCCTCCGTCCTCTCGCTCGCGACGCTCCGCAGCCGAGACTAACGCGTTTAGCAGAGACTCGAACCCCTAATCAGATCTTCCGACGGGCTTTCTAAGGTGCCGCTAAGTGTGAAGTTAATGGAGTCAAGACGTCGCGCCGAGGCGCAAAACTCCTCGCTGCGTCGCGACTATCACGATTATGTCTATTTATTCTTTTTTTCATTTATCTCTGTGAAGCTCGACTGGCGAGAGATTATTAATTGGTTTGTTTGTTTGTTTTTTTTTTTTTTTTTTTGTAAACGAATAAATTGCGTATACAAAATTATTTGCGTGCAAATGAAAATTACATTAGCATCTCGTGGCATCTCGTTTTTCATGCTGTTCTATTACCCGTTTTATTTTATCGAGTTAATGTTATTGTATCGTAGATATATTACTGTTGTGTCAGGTTAAATAAATCAGATTGATTTAACTCTCTCTCTCTCTTTCTCTCTCTCACGCCGCGTCGATCGATTGACATTTATGATTGCACCATTGAATAGTTACTTCTCGCCCGCGTCTGTCGCGCGGCGCGCACTTTGTTGCGATAATGGCTGCTTACCTAGCGCGTTCTCCTGTTAATTAATTCAGACTGTCAGGGTATCGGGGAACCGTGGCGCGCTAATTCGATCAGCAGTGAATTCGCTCGCTTCGGTGGCGAGGGCTCTCGCCGTCAGGCTTCCGGGGAAGTACGAGGAGGAGAGCCTTCGCTTCCACGACGGATTTGCTCCGCAGACAGTTGACGTCGCTATCTAAATGTCACTCCAGAAGCGTGTCGGAATGCCACTCGATAACACACAGCGCGGGGCGGCGTCGTCTCGAATCACGTCTCATTGTCCGACGTGCGATTCGCGATCGTATGCGAACGATGGACGGCCACTGAGGGCTTCCGTGCCGCTATCGAGGGCGAGGCGACGTTTAAACAAGACGCGCTGAAGAATACCTTACGGCGTCACCTTCAATAAAGCGAAATTTCACTGTATCGCGCCACGACGTTGTTCAGTAGCAATTTAGTTGAGGAATAAAAATCGAAAAGCAAAAACAATTTTACGTGCTTAGATTATTATTAAAATATAGAATTTTTGTGAGAATTCACAAACAAAGAAATCAAATCAATAAATATATCATATGAATTCAACAGTATCTTTTTTTTTTTTTCTAAACATTCTTAATTTTTTGTATGATAATAAATGACATAATTAGTTTCTATTAAATGACTAATAATTTAATCAAGACCATAATTAATTTAACCTTATTTTCATTATCCATTAATTATGACATGGGATCGATGGGCTATTCAATAATCATAATTACTAATTATCAACTTGATTACTTAATGATCAAACTTAATGCTCATTAATTTGATTACATATTGCTGAGCTTCGTATTATATTAACTTGTAAAATCGAGATAATTTTCAGATTAAAGTGCACTTCAAATTTGAAAAAAAAATATTTATAAAAATCTACTTTTATAAAAAGTAGATTTTTTAATTAATGATAAGTGAAAAATAATATATCTATGGACCATAGAAGTAAAATAAAATCCGCTTTGCGAAGTAATCACAAAGATAATTATACTGATACAATGCAAGGCAGCACGCTATCTAAGAATAAAAGAAGATTTGTTTCGATGACATTTCATTTTCGTGTTGGTCGCGAGGCACATTTTCGCAAAGTGTGGGCGCGGAAACACGCAGAAATCGTCGCCATTAACCATTCTAGTCGAGCGTTCAACCGTAAAGCACGCGGAGGGAACATTCGTCTTTCTATTAATTTCTGCACAGCGCGAAATTACGAGAGTCGGTCTGACCCTAAGCCATATTAATATCGTAGATTACGAAGAAAATTAAGACAACGATGGGTCGCAGATACCGCGATGGGACTCGGCGTTGTTCCTTTGTTACTTACGGCGAAAGGGTTGCGCCGAGGAGTGTTGAATTGTTGCCGCTCTGTAGCTCACACGCTTGAGAATATCATTCTAACGTGCTATTCATTTGCGCTTCTCGTAGCATTGGCTGATTAAAAAACACAGCGGGGCTCTAATAACGCTGTTGTCGCAAATCTTGGACATTAAGGGAAAAATATGGGCGATATATTACTTGATTCTGAAATGCCTATTCTTTTTTGTTTGCAACAATTATGAAGAGTACAAGCTCATGTTTACACAACCGGCGCGACGAGAAAATAAATTCTCGTTGAAAAAAATTGCGGAATAAATTTTCCTGAGTGATTGTATAATTTTGGAAAAAAAAAAATAAATGCGCAAACGGCGTGCGTATCTATTATATATCTTCATGATTTATTGATCATATTCTGTACATCTCTGCGTATTATTAAAACGAGACTTCCGAAATTACATTTATCGATCGCGCCAATTTACGTTCCCTGGTTAAGTTACATCGCTTTCGAAGACTCGAAGGTGACACAGCTATTATCGTACGCTGTGATTCATCCGGAATGAACGACTGTTCATTTATGACGCCATCGAGCTGGCGACAGCGCGCATTGATACGATGGAATGCCGATAAGAACACGCCGTGCAGTGTTTAAGCATTATGCCGATCGGCCGAGTCAATATCGCGTACGCCACGAACGGCGTCTTCTTACCCGAGAATCGATTACCGTCGCCGTCCTCGTAACGGCGGAAAAACTTCCAAGACGCGCGAGCGAAATCACATCAAAGATTATTTCCGCCAATAAAATGGAAGTCGGGTCTCGGTCGGGAAGGGGCCACTCCGCGATTCGCTCTACGTGGAATAACAAGACAGGAGCGAGGGGGAAAGCCAGAAGACGAGGTTGACGGTTAAAGGGCGGTTCATTCTCAGCGGAGATCGGCAATAAATCCACGGTCGCCCGAAGCGAGTACTTATCGGTTCGCCAGGATCGCCGGCGACGTCACGAGTCGCGAGAAAGCCCCGGCGGGCTCTCGTCTTCTTCGCGACGTCGCAGATCGAAGCGAGATCGAGCAGATTTGACGTAACGAGCGGCAATCGCGAGATTCCGTCGGGTACCTGCGTGGGCGTACAAATCGACCCTTGATTACGCACCGGAGAAATGGAGTTCGGATAAGGCTTTCTTCAAACATCTTGTTTTTGACAGTGAAGCAAGAATTTTTATGACAAAATGTATCGCAATAGAATAATTTTGTTTAACTGCACATCACTGATATAAATTATGCTAAATAGCTTGTAATAAACAAGGTATTTCATAATATTTCTAGAATATCCCGCGTGTAATGTTAACTTTGTGTGCGGATTCATAGATGTTCGCATTTTTCAACACAATTCCATCATCATATCCTCGATATAACCGTCCGAGCTCGCTCTCACTGTGCTATATATATATATATTTTCGCAGGTGCGCGTGGCAGGTCGACGCTTGTGAAGGACGCACAGGTCTGGGTAGCGGCGGCAGCAGCACGCAGAGCAGGGTGAGTCGGATTAAATATGACTTACGGGTAGTACTTAAGTCCTCCTGGCGTTACGTAGCTTCTGGAGTAACACAGCCGAACCGCGCGAACTTTCCACCCGGGCGAGGTCTTGGCGCGCGTAGTCGGATCGGCAAGGTAAAGTTACCATCGCGCGCGTCCGTGTAGTCGTGACCGGCGGGCATTGTCAAGGTTTCGTTCGGGCAAGTTTACCGGTTCCGTGATTTCACTCCGGGCGGATTCGCCCGGATTATCGTTGAAGTGCACTCGAGAGAGAACTTGATCTACGGCCGAGGCCGACGGGAAGACTTATCGATAACGATGTAGCGAATAACCATTCTCCCCCTCGAATATTGTCAGGCGAAATTTCGATATCCAATATTCGATACTCGATATTACTATTTGCAAGAGACTTCAGATTTGCGGTAATCTCGAAAGTATCGCGGCGCCAATTGTCTTTATTCGAATTATGCCGATTATCGACGCAACGAATATTTTTTGTTTCGTTGAATTGCATTTAACGTCCGGTCGTCGGGTGATGACCGAACGTACCACGGATTTTGCAACAATTTGGTATGGTGTTGTCAACGATCTTCGTTCCGCATCAAACGCAAGGGAACACTGAGCGAAATGTATACAGCGAAGTGTACGGGACGTTTAAAAAGCGTTGATTCAATTTTACGCTCAAAAGCGAAGCTCGCTGCCCTCGATCCATAGCCTGTGGATGACAGGGATATCGGTGGTGGTGTTGACGTCCCTGTAATTCGACTGGAAAATATCAGAACAGGTTGCGTAATCCCGCGAGATATTCGACCGTCTCAATCTTGACCAGACTTGCAAATTCTTCTGTGCAATTTCCACATAATTTATGCGCCGCGGTGTTTTTCTGATATTTTTTATCCAAACTCAATAACATTTACTTAAAAAAATACAGTGAGTTATATGCGAATGTAGTAAAGTAAAAAGATAATAATTTGAGACATACAGAGTAAAATTATTCAACTCTTAGTATAAAAAAGTTTCAGTAAACCTGTTCAGAATTTCCGAGGATATATTTACAAGAACATTATTATTTAAAATTACATTCGTTCGTACTTTTACGTCTTTACAATGCATAGAGTGAAGACATTGTCTAGAAAATCCTTTCGCAGAATCTATAGAAACCAGGAAGCCGAATATGTGGCAGGCTTAATCAACAAATTGGTCCCCCAAGAGTTCTCCGTCTTCCGGCGCGAGGCCGTGAACACGCATAATTCAAAGTTCAAGCACAGACCGCAGTCTAATTATCCAATCTTGTCGAGAGTTAGGTTGCAGAATCTCGCTGAAAACTTCGAATTCCTTTGGCGCTCGCGAAACCGCGCTTTCCGACGCGCGGCTCGAACGAAAGAAGCTCGATTCTCGAGGCGTGTCGTAAATTTCACGTGATTTATTCGTGAGCAAATGTTGACGGATTGTCGCGCGACTTGTCAGTCAAGTTTTACTTCGCTTTCGAATTTCAGCCTAAACAAGCCGATAGCCTCCTTATCCTTTAGCCTCCACCTCCGGCTGACAGTCTTATCTTCCGTAGGACAGCTTGTTTGACTTCCGGCGATGTCTCCTTCTGACCGGACGCACCTGATAACTGAATACTCCGGGTGTATCTCGACGAGGAGAGCGCCGGAGTGACGGCGACGGAGAACAAGTACGATAGAGAGTAAGCAAGCAAGAGGGCGAAAGACAGGCTTGCTACCAGGCTTAGTCAGCCTAATCCTTTCCATTGGGTCGGCTTTGCATTAAGTAAAGTCCGCCAACTTGGCCGGAAGCTGCGCTACTCTCCAAGATCTCGGCACTCTCGCGCATCTTTCGATAGAATGTTCTTTCGTCATTAAAGGCTTAGCGTGTGAATTTATAGATATCTTCGTATCCGCGCGACTACACGTCTTCTGAATGATTTTACTTTTGCTAGCCGTTCGTCTTGCAGCGAACGAAAATGATCCGAAGTTTTAAACGGTCTTCTTTATGGCCTCGCGTCCGGCCGGAGTCCATCGAACATTAAGAATGAGAGAAAGAAAGAGGTTAATCCT